ATATATATATATATATATCTTTAGTATTGCATATGATTATAATTGGTAGTCAATCATTTTCATCGTTCCAATATAACAAATTTAATTATTTGTAAATATTAAAAATTAAACTTTTCTCTCGATTGCAACAATTTTTTTTCCACACTTATATATATATATATATAAATAATCATTTTACATTATAGAAATAAATTCTTTAACAATAATATTTTTGCGAACACATTAATGTTTCTTCGCAAGAATTATTATATCTTTTCTCAAAGATGCGAGAATAACGACGAATATCGTCACCAATAGATTTTATGAATTGTATGTTTAATATACAGTGAATTTAAATCTGATGAGCAGGTAAATAACGATAGAATCCTAAATGAACCAGAAATTTGAACTCCATATTGGAATATTTAAAAATTTTTCGACAAAAAAATTTGAATTAGATCAATGTTCAATAAATCTTACAATTTTAATTCTATTAATGAGAGAAACGATTATGTGAAAACAAATTCAGGAATAATACAGATTTGTGCATAATAGTTAGTTAAAGATCATTGTATTATATGTATATTTCTTAATGTATTGCAGTATATCTTAATATATTGCAATACATTAATTATGTAACAAGTATTTTCTGAAATATTTTTCGTTCTCATAGAATTATCAATGCTATTAGACTGCAATATATTAAAATTCTCAACTTTCAAATTATCGAGTTTTTTAAGACTTTATAATCTATAAAAGAAAATTCTATCGGAAAGAAATAAAAGATTTAATAGAAAACCACCATGTATCTAAAATAGAATCAGAAACATATTTCTTAGAATTCATAATTCAGTAATTTAATTACAATAGGATATTATGTACAGAATGACCTGATGTTTCATCATCAATTATAATACGATTTTAAACTGAGAAGCTTTACGAGAAAGATTTCTAGTCTAATAATTAAGAAACATATATTACGATTTCTAACTGATCATTGCAATCAGGAGAGAAGACCTATCGCGACTATTTTTTTTCTCTTTTCATTTATATAATTTCCTCATGAAATATTAATATATTCGTTTTCTTCGCAATCTTGGCAGTGGATATATATAGTTTTTAAGTCGATGTGTTTTACACGATACACATCTGTGCGAAACATTTAAAAGGTTAAAAAAAAATGGAACAAAGAAAAATTGACTACGATTCGTTAATCTAAATGGAATTTAAAAAAATAAATTTGCCATATTTCTCATTTGTTATTCAAAGGAATCAAAATAAACTCAGATAATTACCAATATTATTATCGATAATAATTTTTGATAAAGTTGCGCAATGAAACATTAAATCTTATTTCCAGAATTTCTCTATGAAGATACATTTTAAATTTTCCTCATTTTACTTCTTTTCTCTTATCTTGTTTACTTTTTCTTATTTAATTATTTTACAGTTTTTAACATAAAAATTGAAAATAATGGTTTAGTGATTTATGATACAAAATAGATGAATTAAGGTTTCACTGTATCTTTAAGTGAAAAAAGAAGATAATAAGGAGAAGAGAACAATAGTGAGATCCGATCTCATAATTAAGTACATCTTTTTATTGTCGTTCCCTTGATTGCTCTTCGCAAAATCCTTTGTGTTTTTTTACTGAAAAAAGGAACGAATTGTGCTCTTCATATTTTTTTTTTTTTATTAGCAGACCATAAGAGTCAATAAATTGATTGTTTTACAACTGCTAGCCTCGTTTTTTTCATAATATACTATTACTCTGATTTTGCTCCTATTTCACTTGTATGAAACCTCTTTAGATTATTATTCATGGAGAATCTAACAGGTTTTAGAGAAACCGAGCTACAGAAAGATTGCTTTCAAATGCATAAATGAAAGAATGAGTCCGTACAGAGTGTCTATGGAGTCTTGAGCTATTTTTGAAATTCATAGAATTTTATTCCTTTTCATTTTAATAAAAATAAAATAAAAAAAGAAATAAAAAAAGAATAATTGCTTAACAATAGAATTATGAGTATTTATCAATTAAAAATCCAATTAAATTTAAAATTGTAATTAAATTTGTAATAATTAATGTTTTAATTAATGTTTTAATTTAAAATTGTAATTAAAACATTAAATGTACCAACATTTTATGCAGAAAATCGAAACAAATTTCAAAACTATTTCATTTGATCAATTATAATACGTTTAGTGTTAAAATTGTTAAACGATCTATGTAGATATAAATTTCTTATATTATAGCTTATTAATATTAATTTTTGTATTATATATTATACAAAATCATTAGAGAATTTATTTTATTAAAAATTTTATTTTTTTTTAATTTTTATTTTATTTTAAGCACAATATAGTACCAATGTCATTATTTAATATTAAGCTTAAGAAATGACACAAATTTAATAGTGTTCAATATGATATATTACTTCATTCCATTTAACAAAGGAATCAAATATAGAAACAAAACATAAAATTTCTTGACTCACATATATGCTACAAAAAAACTTAGATTATATAGACTTTATAAACACCCTGTACGATATTCCAAAATGAACACTAGATAATAAAAATTAATTAAAGACAATTACAAGTGAATTATGTTAAGTCATAACGATTTGTTATGATTCCTAATATATCTTTGAAAGATAATAAAGTGCATTCAACTTTTCTTAAATCATAGAAGCCTTCATTTTTATAATGAATAATGGTTTTTGATAGTATATATATATATATAGGTTTTCAAAGAGAAAATCGAACATAAGTACATTTTCTATTAAAACAATAAATTTTAGGAAAATTCTAAAAGAGACCAATGCATCTTTTAACTCATCATGACATATTTTCATTCATAAAAAATAATAAAAGTAGTTTTCTTTTGAAAACCAAATGGAATTATTTCTATTGATAAAAATAGATCGAAAGAAAACTGCTCTGTTTAGATTAAGTTCTATGGCAAATAAGCAGGCAAATAGGATATGTAAATTTAATGAACAAATAGTGTGTGAAGAAACATATCAAGCAAGCAAGCATGTAAGCCAGATCGTCGTGCACGCAGATAATAAATAATCAGCCTAACATTTTTTAATGGATTATATCAAATATTATTTTTTGAACTTAAAATATTTCCAAAACATATTTGGTTTCATATATAAAATGATATAAATTAAATAAGAAAAGATGAACAAAAGTGAAAAATATAGTTGATTCAACAGAGAATTCTAAATGCTTGAATTCTAAGTTCTAAGTTCCTTTCTCTCACTTATAAATAATACTTAAATTTTAACATTAAAATATCTTGCAACGAAATTGAAAAAAAAATAATTTTAATTGGATAGAAAAATTTTAAATAATCTGAAAAATTCTGAACTTTTTTTTTAAGTAATATTGAAGTGAACCTAAAATATATATTTGTATTCTGTGCTCGGTATCATAAAAGAGAACATAAAAGAGACTGATGAACTGAGTTATCACGTGAAGAAGCTCGAACGGACAGCCTAAACAGATCTCTGTTTTAAAATGAATCTTAAGTACTTGTAGCTCTCTCTTTCTCCTAAAATTGCAAAGAAGCGATGCCTGAGCGTTGCAAATAACGTGTTCCTTCAATAAGTAGAGCATTTCATTTAAGCTCCATGAAAGAAGAAAGAAGAAAACAAAAAAGAAGAAAAATGAATTATGTCACAGAATAAAAAATTCCTTACTTGAAAAAATAACAAGAATAAAATCAATAATTTGAAGTAAAAACCAGTTTGAAAAGCTAAAATAAAAATGGTAATTAAATATGAGATGTAGCCTTAAAAAATTGTAAAATCTTGATAATAAAAATTTACACTCTCATAATACTTAAAATACTCTCAATACAAGAAAAAAGACAATGTTAAAATGCAAAGAATAAAAAATTCTTCACAAGTCAAATAACAGTGTCCTAAAGAACTTGTAGCCAAAAAATACAAGAGATAATACCGTAGAATTCAATGTAGAAACCGAGAAGAGACAGATAAATATTTATAAAAGTAACAATATAGTAGATTTTTAAGAAGTAAAAAATATACGGAAAAGAAATACGTAACAATAGCCGAAATGAACATCCAAAGTCAAGTATTTTTCAGCATTGCAAAGTCACTAAAAAAAGTCTGCTTTGTCATACATCAATGAGTATCATTTAAAATAATCATTATAAGTAAGTTGTTAAGACAAGAAAATCCATAATATTTGTCGCGCAAAGGAGCTCGAACAAGAAATAGCAAATGGTACACAACTGAAGATAGTGTTCTGATTGAAAATGAAAATATAGTAGTGATGACAAGAGACGTAATGATAAAAAAATAAAAAGATAAAGAGATAAAGAGAAGGTGTAACCATAAAAAAAAGTACAAAACAAAAATGATTCAGACAATATAGAATAAGAGGAAGAAAAATGAGAGGGATATAATAATGAAAAAATGGGAAGTTTAATGGTGTACAGTGGTGACACGCAAAGCTGCCTTTTAAATGCTGGTTTCATGCACGAGCTTCGTCAATTCCGGGATGGCCAAATTATTGGAGCTGAGAAGCAGGGAGTTTCCTGTGTTGCTGTCTCTGTTGTTGCTATTCTGCATCTGCGTATGGTTGGGTTGTTGGGCCTGGTTTAGGGCACTATTGGACGAGGATCTATTGTCATTGATGGTGTTTATGGTGGTATTATGATGGTTGTACGCGATGCCTGATCCCGTAACGCTGAGCAACAATGGTGACGTAGAGCTGTTCATCCTGGCGGTCGTATGATCCTCGGCGGTCTTGTTCGGCAAATTGCCCTTGCTGGCGTTCAGCGCACTGTTTGTCGGGTCTTCGTCAATGTATGTGAAGTCAGAAAGTGGTCGGGGCCCAGTGTGGCTGCGTGAACTGCGCATACTGTGTAAGCTGTGTAAACTATGGACAGAGCGACGCTCCTCCAAATCTTCTAGAGTCGACTTGAACGCTCTGATTACTCGAAGCTGCAAAAACAGGGAAGAGGATGTTCTATCAGGAAGCGAGGAGGCAAGCCAGCGACACACAAGCATGTCATATTTGTATTTATCTCAATTTGTGTGTGTCAATACTTATGTTTTTTCATGTAGATTAGGCTTTCTATGATATAAAGACTATATAAGATATGTACATATAGTGTTTATATACACGTATACAGAGTATTAAATATATTAATAGGATTTGGGGGATCAATTCTAGAGGAAAACGAAAAAACAAAATTTGATATATGAAAATGTTGATCGAGATTTGTTTGTTAAATTATAAGCAATTGAAATTGAAAAAAATTTAAATTGCTTATAACTTAGTTAAAATTGGATTTATAAATTTAATAAATGATTGATATTGATCTCAATTGATATTTTCATACACTTTTGTATTTGTTTTAATCTGCAGAATCAATCTTCCAAAAATATCCCATGAATATATCAATATTCTGTATATAAGTACGTATATAATCTTCATACTTTTTCTTCTTTTTGATGATGCCTTATGATTATTCAATTGCTGTGCTATATATTTTTCATCCATGTTTTTTCCTTTCTTTTTTTTCGCAGGGAGAGATTTCCGGTTTTCTTGCAAGGATAAATTTCGTGTATAGATTTGTAGATTTTTCTCTAATAGTGTAATATATACATGTGTATATAGTTCGTCTAATAGTGTGCACACATCGGGTGGGTTGTTCTCTTCGCTGTGGACTTGGTTGCATTTCATCCGAGTTCAGATCTAAATGACTGGCGTTCTCGAGCATGGCTCTACAGCCAGGCGTACATGCGCGCATCTACCTTTACTGTGCGTACCTATTTATTCTGGCAAAAGATCAAAGAAGAAAAGATCAAACAAAAAAAAAAGAAGGAACTAATTACGAGTTCTTTGCTTCATTACGTACCATAATTATTAGTTAATTCCTTCTCAATGACACAATTTATTCGAAGGAACTATTTCTCATCCCCTAAATAGTATTACTAGATTTGGATAAACCTGAATACTGAAATATTAAATTTCAATAGCTTCACATCTTGCTTTTGATTAATTGACTACACTAGCCTCTCTTAAAAAGAAATGATACATTAAATCGATTAATCATTGAATAAAATCTTTTCAAAATTAGAGTTATTTAATTTAAAATACGAATTAAACTGGAATAATATATAAAAAAAAAAATATGCAGTTTTTTTAAATGTATTCAGAATTGAAATATTAAAAATGGATTAAAAATGTTAAGTAAGGATGAAAACAAAAATTTTGAGGTATTTGTAACAATCTGAACCAGTATATTTTTTTTTTTCACATATAGAACCTGGCTTGAAGTGTTAAAGCATCTTCTTTTGAAATCAATTAGAAATGGTTTTTAAGAATTCTAAATTGAGTCCTAAAAAAATAGAGACTAGTTTTGATGAAGCACACGCTTAAAATCATGACCGTAAAAAGAGTTAAGCGTGTAAAGTTGAAAAAAAACAGTATAAATAGTGACAAAGACAGACAGACAGAGAAACAGATAGTCAGGTTAGCAGACAGAGAGTGAAAGAATGTATATATGTGTGTGTACATTCTGAAGAGAAAAAGAAAGACAAAAAGATAGAAATAGAAGGAAAGTTCTATAAATTAGAAAACATTCTAATGAACATTTTCGTGGTTTTATATTAATTCTTTTTGTGATCATGCTACTTAAATAAAATTGCATTCCACATTTATGGAAAAATTGATTCCTACTAATCTTATTGTACAGATTCAAGTTTCTTTTTCTTGTGAACACCAGCAGTTAAAATACTTTGTCTAGTTTAAGAACTAGTTTAAGTTCACAAAGTTCGTTCCTTGAATATTTTATCAGAAACATTTTCTATGTTTTGATATTTCTTTACGTCAAACATCAATCTATTCCATAATCTGATCACAGCCTCAATATATAATTGTAGTATATAATAATCAATATATAAAATAATGGCACTGAAAATAGAATTATATATTTTAAATGCCATAATATTTATAATAGTTCAATATATATACATACTTTTTTACTTTGAAAAATCATATATATAATATAATTCTCAATTCTTCTTATAATTGCACATTAGATAAATAGATTACTTAGATAAATTCCAAATTTATAAAACATAACGTGTGATACTTAATCCTTCGAAAATCGGACTTAAGAAGCCTAATCCAATCTGATAATCTGATAAATCAAGATTCGTTCATTCGAGAAGGCGGAAACACCAAAAGAATCACATGCCGGTAATTTTATAACAATTACAATACACCGTAATTGTATAATAATAGTAATTGTAGCTACTAGAAGCTTCTTATTCGACGAGATCTTTTTTTTCTAGTTTAGAATGCAAAAATCATTGCAAATAAATTCAACCTTTTTATACCACTCGCGCGCAATACCATGTTAGATATCGGGTAAACAAAAAATCGATGCAAACGTGAGCATTCGTGCACACGCACACTCATATACCGTATCAAAACATATAAACTGGATTATAAACTGCTTTCAGATAAATTGCTTTCTTGTGCAGTTAAAAAACTTACTTAAATATTAAATAAGTTAATAATCTGTGCTTAAAATTGCAATAATATATTATTATAATATAATATAAATAATATAATATAAATATGTAATATATTCCTGGTTACTTTTTATTAAATTTTTAATGATTTTAAAGTAAACCATAAATTAAATAATTTTATTTTTACTCCGAATTATTATTTTTTATATAAATTTAAATCTTTGAAATCTTTTATATCGATTCTTAGCAAAATGAGATTCTTCAGATCTCATATATAATATATATATATATATATATATATATATATATATATATATATATAATAAATGAGATTCTTCAGATCTCATATATAATATATATATATATATATATATATATGCATGATAAGAATTTATATAATATTAAACAAACATTCATAAGTTATATATAATAATAATGTTATATATAATTTATAAAATTTATTCCATAATTAATTCATTCCATAATATCGTTCTATTTTATAATAAAGATTAATTAATTTTTATATCGATTCATATTCATTAATTTCTAATTTCGCAATTTATCTAAACAGAGAATGTTGTGCCAAGAAATATTTATGCCTTCAGTTACATGTCTTCATTTTCATAAGGTTCGCACAGAATTAGAAATTCTTCATGGAAAATCAAACTGCAGAAAAAGCAAATCTACCTGATATCGTAATAATCTAGCCATGATCAACAAATGGCACAGAAGGAGGCAAGGGATCACATGAGATTGAAGAAAATTAAGAGACATATTTGTTCGAGAGAAACTGTTCTGATGGGACAGAAAGAAAGGTCTAGGACTTTTTTTTGACAATGGTACGTCGTGAAAATTTTTCCTGGAGATTATCTGCAAAAACAGAAAGACAAAGCAGGTTATCGCGATCGCACGCTTGCAAACATGTTGTAAAAAGAAGACTTTTCACAAATTGCCGGAATCCGAAATCTTCAGCCAGAAAATAGAATGCGGCGGGAGAAACAAACACATACAGAAACGCAAGCAGCAGAGTGAGGGGGAGAGGAGAGATTCTGCTCGACCAGGCAGAACTTTTAAAAAGCTGAATAAATACCTCTTGTCGAGATATATTTATAATCCTCGTGCGAGTATACGTACGATACCAAAAGAAGGATGGTCGTGTTTAAAAACAGGTATTATAATCGCCACGAAAAAATAATACTCGCTTTCTTTTTTTTTTCTTTTTTTTTTTTTTCTTGTTCTAACAGTTGCATATTATTATATCATGAGAATAAGTATGAAAATGACACAATATGAGGAAAATACACGCAGCACACAATCATATCAGACAACTATAGACTACTGAAAAAAGAGGGCGGGTGGACGGTGGTCTACCTGCATAAGAGGCTCTTCCATCGATTCCACCGACCAGCTCATACCCACTACACAAAAACACAGTGGTGTGACGAAAATCGTTCACTGCATCAGTACTAAGGAATCGTCGCCCTCGTTCCTGCTTAATTGCTTTTCACTATAAATTTTCTTTTCTTCGGATAATATTAATTAAATATATTAAGGCCCTTTCGCTATAAATAAATTTCAAATATTTCTCAGTTTATTATTATATTCAATATATAGAATTATCTTTTTTTTTTTTCTTCAAGCTTTTCTTCTCTAAGAAAAAATTAAATTAAATTTCCAAAAATCCTATAAATAATCAATATAATAAAATACATAATATCTGTTTTAATATCCATGTCTTAAATATATTTAAAACTTTCTATTTATCTTCAAATTGCAGCTCTTTATCTTGTAAATGAGTTACAATTCAAATTAAATAGTTTCTATGATTAATATTTCTCTTTATAAAATTAATTTTTTTTTTTTTGATGAAATATTACACATTAGCAAAAGGGTAGAGATTATTTATCGTTGAGAACAAGGCTCGATAGCGACGTTTCTCTCAGCACACCGTACGTACGTCGACAATCCGTCCTGTGTATGCGTACGTATGGCAAAGTTGACGATATAACGTATTATTAACGGCAGGCGATCTACATGAGCTACGTACTTGTTTGTACTCCGACAGGATAAGTGTGGCGGCGAGCAAGACTGCCGCCCCGTTATACCTCAGTCTCCCGAATGGGTTCCGCTGGCTAACAAACCACAAATCATACCATAAGTTTTAATTTCTATCTTCTCCATAATATCATTGCTTTTTAGGCGTGTTTTTTTTTTTTTTTTTTTTTTTGCGTCAGTATTTAATTCCTGATATACTGACTTATGTGTCTCTGTTATTATTACTATTGGTTTTGTTTCTTTGTATCTGTTATTGTAGATTATTTTTTCTGAGGTTTTCGTTCTTGTTAGTCAAGTTCCCAGTTATTAAGAGCCTTCTTAATGTGTCTTTTTGCAGATATATAAGTGTTTCTGTGTATAAAAGGGAAGAGAATCCTGAAGTACACGAGGCTTCGTGCTAG